CGGCCAGCCAGGTGGCTAGCTAGCTGGCTAGCTAGCTGGCTAGATAGCTAGCTACCCATATACCACCTAGCTAGCTGGCTAGCTGGCTAGCTAGCTAGCCAGCTACCCATATACGAGCTAGCTAGCTAGCTAGCTAGCTAGCTGGCTAGCTGGCTAGCTGACTAGCTGCCTGTTTGAACTGGTAGAAGTCGACGACTTGTGAGCTAGCTAGCTAGCTAGCTACCCATATACCACCCAGCTAGCTAGCTGGCTAGCTAGCTAGCTAGCTAGCTAGCTAGCTAGCTAGTTGCCTGTTTGAACTGGTGGAAGTCCAGGGCTTGTGAGCTAACTAGCTAGCTAGCTACCCATATACCACCCAGCCAGCTAGCTAGCCAGCTAGCCAGCTAGCCAGCTAGCTAGCTGGCTAGCTAGCTAGCCAGCTACCTGTTTGAACTGGTGGAAGTCGAGGGTTTGGAGTTGGTGGTGATCTGCAGCTCTGAAGAAATCTGGAAATTCAAAAGAAAAACTTTTTTGAGTCATTTGCTGCAGCTGCCGCGGCAAAGAGCCGCCGGAGAAACGGCCTGAGAAGTAGTAACAAATAAATAAATAAATAATGAATAAATAAATAAATAAATAACTAAATAATAAATAAATAAATAAATAAATATATAATAAATAAATAAATAAAAGATTAATGAATTAATTAATTAGCTAATTAATTAACATATATGTAGCTGTTATTGTTTGCCTAATAGTAAACAACTGAATAAATTAATTAACTGATTACCTGATTGAATTGATTGACAAATGGTTTAATTAATTAATTAATTAATTAATTAAATTATTAAATTAATTAGTTAATTAATTAATTAAATTAACTAGTTGTTGTTGACTGGTTCAATTAATTAATTAATTAAACCATTTAATTAATTTAATTAATTAATTTAATTAATTAAATTAATTAGTTAATTAATTTAATAATTTAATAAATAAATAAATTAATTAATTAAACCATTTGTCAATTAATTCAATCAAGTAATCAATTAATTAATTTATTCAGTTGTTCCTTGGTTTAATTAATTAATTAAACCATTTAATTAATTAAATTAATTAATCAATCAATTAATTAATTAAATAATTAATTAATTAATTAATTGATTTAATTAATTAATCAATTAATTAATTAATTAATTAAATTGATTAATTGGATTAATAAAAGTAAAATAAATAAAATAATTTATTAAATGCATCTTTTTCTCCAAGTTGCCACTCGAGTGCAATTGAACAAAAAATCGGAATGAAAGCGAAATAAAAGAATATAAGAAAAATAAAATAAAATAAAAGTAAAATAAAATAAAATAAATCAATTAGATAAAATCAAATCAAATCACGTCAATTAAACAAATTTAGTTTAATTTAATTAAATTAAATTAATTAAATCAAATTAAATTAAATTAGATTAATTAAAATTACCAAAAGCATCTTTTTCTGTAAGTTGCCACTCCTGCTAAATTAATTAAATCAAATTAAATAAATAAAATAAAATAAAATAAAATAAAACAAAATAAATTAAATTAAAGTACCAAATGCATCTTTTTCTGCAAGTTGCCACTCAAGTGCAATTAAGTCCGAAAGAGCTTTTGAAGAATTTTTTCCTTTTAAAGCTTTTTCGTGCAGCAGCAAAAGGCCCTTCATCCACAAGCCCCAGTCCTGCATGCAAACGCATGCAAAACGCATGCAAAACGCATGCAAAATGCATGCAAAACGCATGCAAAATGCATGCAAAATACGTGCACAATGCGTGCAAAGTGTATCCGTGCATGCATGCGTGCAAAGTGCATGAAAAATGCATGCAAAATGCATGCAAAATGCATGCAAAATATATGCACAATGCATACATGCATTTTGCATGCATTTTGCATGCACTTTGCATGCATTTTGCATGCAAACAAGCTGCATGCAGCGAGTCCCGAATTGAGAGCCCTAGGAATTAGATCTTAGGGTTTAGGGTTTAGGGTTTAGGGTTTAGGGTTTACTTCTCTTGAACTGCATGCAACGCGGACAGTGCGAGACCCCCGGATTTCAATTGCCACATCTCTTTCGGGTTTGTTCTGAGCAGCAGCAGCAGCAGCAGCAGCAGCCGCAGCAAGTCATGCAGCAGCAGCAGCAAGCCGGTTTGCAACAGCAACCGTGTTGCAGCAGCAGCAAGTCGTGCAGCAGCAGCAGGAAGGCGTGGAGCAGCAGCAGCAAGTCATCCAGCAGCAGCAGCAAGTAGTGCAACAGCAGCAATACAAGTAGAGTGCAACAGTGGCTGCAGCAGCAGCAAGGAATGCAGCAGCAGCAGCAGCAGCAGC